TGATGATGATGATGATGATTTATTGACTTGTAAAGCGAATGATGATTTATAAAACAAATTCAAACTTACGATTCATGGTTTGCACAAGAGCAACCTCTGTTTAAGGTATGCAAGCTTTTGAGAGTAGCTTATTCACGTTAGTTGCAGCATACTCGATGAGATTCTTGAAGGAGCTCAGAAGGAATATTTGACTTGAAGACCCGGTGATAATTTGAAGTTCATTAGGATCAACGTCATTACCAATACCTATGGCAAGCATCTTGCAGCCCATACCCTTAAAACCAAACATAATGTTAAACCTATAAAGAACAAGCACTACTATTGGTAGAATTACACCAATAGCATCTTGCAGCCCATACCCTGGAAAACAAACACAATGCTAAACCTATAAAGAACAAGCACTACTATTGGTAGAATTACACCAATAGTATCTTGCAGCCTATACCCTGGAAAACAAACACAATGTTAAAGCTATAAAGAACAAGCACTACTATTGGTAGAATTACACCAATAGCATCTTGCAGCCTATACCCTGGAAAACAAACACAGTGCTAAACCTATAAAGAACGAGCACTGCCATTGGTAGATCTCAGTCTTCAAACTTACCCTGAGTTCGGCAGAAGGTGCCGGGAGTCTGTTTAGCCCGTTCCAAGACTGACCATCAGTCATGACGATTACGGTTTTAGGAACTCCTGGTCTCTGAGAAAGCTTGATGATTTTATCTCGCGCACAATTGAGTGCATTGTCGGTCAGGGTTGATCCAGCAGTGTACTGAATGTTGTTTATTACCTATAAAAAGTAATGATCTTTGAATACTTATGTGGGAACTGGGCTTTCTTTTCTCAAGTCATTCAACATGGCATCCGTCAGGTCATCCAACATGGCCTCCCTCAAGTCATCCAACATGTCCTCCCTCAAGTCATCCAACATGACCTCCCTCAAGTCATCCAAAATGGCCTCCCTCAAGTCATTCAACATGACCTCCCTCAAGTCATCCAAAATGGCCTCCCTCAAGTCATCCAACATGGCCTCCCTCAAGTCATCCAACATGGCGTCCCTCAAGTCATCCAACATGGCATCCGTCAAGTCATATATCAATACTTACATCTCTCATCTGTGATAGTGACATGCTACCACTGTCCATCCAGGTCAAGTCCACGTAGCATTTCTCGTCAAAGGTAAYTATTCCAAGCCTTGATTTTCCAGCAGAAAAGTCGTAAGCGTTCAAAAACTTTTGGAGAAATTCCAGAACAAGTTTGAAGTTATCCTGGCCAACACTACCAGACACATCAACCACCAAGATCACATCAGACACAGTGSTGCATTCTAGAAAGGTAACAGATATTCTACGTTACTTTTGTGATAAAGAATAAACGTTCCTCGTAATACATACTGTTTTTGCCCTTTTCAACTCTAGACCGAAAACAAAAATGTGTACTCAATTAGTGCGAAATCGCTAGAACAACAGACACTTAAATAAATAAATATATTTACATTATTTATAGTCTCTAAATTTTTAACTGGCTCTAAAAAAAGAAAGCTTTTTAGCCAATTAAAGCACGCCCTGACGAAAATCTATTACATTATAAAACTCTGATTCTTAGAGTTTGTACCAACCCCAGAAATTTTAGGAAAATGCTTTTCCAATTGTATTATTATTTTTCTAAGCAAATTAACTGACCTTTAGCGGCTTAATTATCTCGTTTAGCTGTTTCAGCTAAGTTATTGTAGTAAGTAACACAGCGCTTACATAGAGCAGTCTTCGTATGACTGTGAAAAGCTCAGTGCCGTAAGCGTGACGTGCCGTGACCGTGATACTTTCTAGAATTTTAATTGGCTGATTTTTTTCWCGCGCAATATGATTGGTCTAACAGTGCCGTGATCTTGGCGTGACCGTGTCCGCACCGTGTTCCTGGTATTTACAGTCTTACGAAAACCGCACTAAAGGCCCGTTTTTGCAGCTATTTGAGGTGCGGTTTTTGTAGAGATTTTGGTCAAATTCAAGAATGGCAAGGAATAAACTTCCAGCTAAGTTGACTTTCAAGACAAACTTAAGGTAAATCATATTTTGATTAGTATTTCCCATGATTCTGTCAAAGAGAACCCATGAAATATGAATTCTTCATTCTTTAAATTGATTGTAAATGCTACTAGTTTAACTCATATAGGGGAATTCTAGTTTAATCAACACGAGAAATCTAACTACATTCGTACTTAGCGCCTGCTAGGAAAATTCTAACCAAAAATAGTCGACCCATAATCCCTTTCAGGGAACGCATCTGCTGGTTATATGAAGTTTTATTCCTGACACCAAGATTACCTAGACTAAAAAGGGAGCATAGACTAAATTTATGTTTTCAAAAAATTTCGCAAAAATCGCAGCAAAA